TGTCTCTTAGCTTTCCTGTCTTTGTAACATGATTATTAGGTACAGCATCCTCTCTTTGTTGCATTCACATGGCCGCATCCTGACAGCCTGTCTTCTCGAAGCACATGAGGCACAGTTTATACCAACTGGCTTTATAGGTATTTTTTAAGAGCTGGGAATACTGTAGGGGCTTATACATGTGACAGCTTTGTGCTTTGGGGATTGAGGTAAGAGGGACAGAGAACACAGTGGCTGGAACAGCTTGTCTAGATTGAAAAGAAACGATGTAAGTTTGCTAGATGTTTGGCTCTACATTCTGATCCCATTTTTTTTACAACTTCTTCTACATATATCTTGGAGAATTAGGAGTGAAACATCAACTTTATTCAGTAAATAGTTATGTCTAGCAGTTATGTATTGGACTCTGTGCTAAGTGCTGGAAAATACTAAGATAAACATGTTACAGTCCCTGCTCTCAAGGCATTTGTGATTCGTCAAGAGAAAGAAGTGTGAGAGAGGATAGCACTGTGTGAAAGTGGTTATCACAGAGCCACGCACGACGTGCTGCAGGTGCACAGAGAGAGGTGGCGACACTGATTTGAGAAAGGCTTCCCAGAGGAGGCAGCGCGATGGCCTTTCACGGATGGGCTTGCCTGGTAAAGAATGGCAGAAGGAGTAATCTTGGCAGATAGGCATTATGAACCATGGCATAGAGCCTAGTGTCGTGTGTCAGGGAAATGGCAGGCGGTTTGAGGTGGTTGGTTACAGCACAGAATGATGCAACACCAGGTTGGGGATGAAGGCCGAGCCCAAGAATGACAGGACCTTGACTTTCAATTTGCAACACATCTGGTATTGTTTTCAATCATGGAGAGTCATCATTAGAAATGTCTGCTTTAGAAAGATCAGTGAGGAAAGAAGTGATCGAAAGCAAATAGTTCCAGCAAGAGATGGAGAAGCTTCTTGTGTGAATGGAGTAGAGTAGATGGATATGGTGGACATTTGGAGAAAAGAACATTGTCACTTAGTGAATGAAATGACAAGGGGATGTGCACAAGGATGGAACCTTGGGAGAAGCCCACCTTGAAGCTGTGGGCAGAAGCAGTAGAGTTTGTGAGTGAGACTGAGAGGTAAGATGGAAGATAGAGGAAGGGATATATATTCAGCGAGAGTTGTGCTCAGCAGTGTAAATGCCTCAAAGGGGACAATTAGGGCAGGATTGAGAAGAGACCACTACACATAAGAAATTGAGGTCATGGGGAGCCTTTGGAGAAATTACTGGAGAGGTCCTGCTAGAGAGGAGAAAACAGTTGAATGCTTGCACTGTTCAAGCCATATCACTATTCCACAAGAATATAACTAACAATGAAATGCATTTGTGTAAAGGAATATTCACAAACGTCCAATCTACAGGTATTTGGATCTAGGTACTTGGATTGAGGAAAAGAGAGAGGGGAGCTTAAGGTCAGTACTGCAGTGTCACTGAACAATACCTCTGCATTCGGCTTTTGAGGGTCTCAGAGAGCCCCTTCCTAGCATATACCATGACCCTAATCATGCTGCTTTGTCTTATTACTGTCAAGATTCTGTAGACTGTAGATGCTTATAGACTTCTCGTCCAATTCCAGACTGGTTCTCATTTCTAACCATGGTGCTTGTAGTAGATGGTGTGGTGTGTCACCCTGATTCCCTCTCCACTAACAGGGCACTTGTCCACCTGCTCAGAGTGTAGGCAGCTACTGATGACTCTCACCTGAAAATTGTCCTTAGCTGAAGAATGTTGCTTCACCCAAGTCCATAACCTCCAGGACAGGATGGGGGACAGTCCACATGCAAGGCCTAGTCAATGGAGGTGGAGTGCAAAGGCCACATGCTTTGAAGCAGGATAATTCTGAGGGGTCATCCTAGCTCCAGAGCTCCTGTGGGATCAGGTGAAGATTTTGTCTGCACTGCATTTCAGTTCAGCTCTTCTCTCTGCTCAGTGTAGTTCTTCCTTCACTCTCTGGCAGGTGTTGTTCAAGGCATGCCCCAGTACACTCCCTCAGTGTGAGTCTCAGAGTTTCAGAGTCTGTTCCATGGGGGAACCATCCTGACTCAGTGACTGTTTCCAGTTTGGCTGCCTACTCAAGGCAGTGGAGCTCTTTGTGCCGTTGCCACTGGAACTCTTTAGTTTCTCTGACTTTTGCTTCTGAGGCTCTTGGGTGTGTGGAAAGCCTTTCTTTCCCCGCAGTTTGGAATGAAAGTCTCAGTATTCAGCCTCCTTGGTTCTGACTGGCTGGGCCATCTGCCCGTTAATAGACTATTCAAGGAGAGAAAATGCCCCATGAGTCAGCTGGGCAGATCCTCCTGAGACGCCCTGTTAACCTCGGCCCTGAGAGGGACCCACGAGGGAGAGTGACCCCTGCACGTCAGAGCCGATCCCTGCTCTGCAACCTGCTACTTCTCCTGCTCTCTCCTCGCACCCCTGTTTGATTCCCAGGTTCCTTAAGGCAGCCACTAGTCACCACCCTGTAGCTCTTCTGTTTCTTTCATATGTTTTTTAGTCAAGAGAAATGAATGTTGAAAACACAATTGAGATATTTCAAGTAAGTGTAGAACCTCTCTCCAAATATGTTGCAGAAACACCACTGAGCAAACAAACTACTGGGAGGCACAGCTTAGAAACAAACAGCAGCTGCCACCATTTATGGGCTTTTTTTTTTCCTTTTCCTCATTTCTTTCTAATTCTGTTTGTAATAAAACCTGCTGCTCTAATGGCCTGGTAGTTAAACAAATTCTTCTTTGCCATCTTGAGACCTCCCAGGTGGCCTGGACAGTGTCTTTTAGCTGTGGGGTGCTGGTTGACTCAGAGCTCTAGTCTCTTAATGATGTTTTCCCGTCTTGTGAGTCTGTCTGAAACCGCACCTGCCTGGCCAGGTGGGGCATAGCTGGAATTTCTGGACTACTTGAGTTTTTAGGACATGAGCATGGAGTGTGGATTCTTGCCCTTCTGGCTTTTTAAGAGTAGGTGATGCTAACTCATCTTTCTCAGTGACTAAGTGCTTAGTCTGTTGGGGTTTTCTAAGCTTGTTTTTTTTTTTTTAATTTTTCTTTTTTTCTTTTTAATGTGGAATCTTTGAAGACACATACCCAATGGCTTCTCTTGAGTCTGATCTACTAAAGGCTGTGAATTTAAAGAATTCTGACTTGTCACATCATTGACCTCCTTCCTCAGAATAGCAGAGTTGCTGCTTCCCGATTAGCCTTGCTCCCCCCATTTAAATGCTATTGGTCATATGGAATTCCTCAGCTTGAAAGTGGTTACTATTAGGTATTAATAGATTAACAGATGTCACACCTGTAAGCTCAGACACCATGTTGATCTGCCAGGGTCTCCCAGGGTCACACGGCCAGTCAAAGAGAAGTTGGAATTTTATCTCCAGGTCTGGCTGTTCCCCCTCTTGCCCCTCAGCTGCCCACCATTATGACATATGGCAGTGCTCTCATACAAGTGTTGACTTGAGACTGTAGCCATTTTTTATTTGTTCCTCAAAGTATTTTTTTTTTAATTTAGTGCTTAACACTTAAAAATCAGGTGATCTCATATTAAACAAAGTGTCCGGTTTTCATCAAAACATCTTTAGACCTGGCAATATTGTGCTCCTGTGTTGACATGGCAGCAGGTGGCTCCAGCGTAGTAAACCACCTCCCTTTCCCCCACCAGGAGGCATGACTTCTCCAGCTTGCCATAGGCCTGGCCGGGCCACTTCTCTCATTTACGTTACTTGCCTGGCCTCAGTGGGCATTTACATTTGTGACTCTTAATTTATGCCTTTAAAGAAGCAATTTCTGTCCAGTTAGGAATCAGTTGGGTGGGGTAAAAGTCAATTTCCTCCTCTGAGTTGAATTTTATAGGCTTTGATTTTTCTTTTCAAATTTTTGGGATAGTAATTCAGTAATAATAGCAGTGATTATTGGATATTTATTGAGCACTATAACATTTAGCTGCCTCCCAGGGTTAGTAGACAGCTGTTTGGTGGTAAAATGTTGTATAATTCTCCAATGTAGTTCTGTGTTCTAAATCCTGCAGTTACCCTGCAGGTACTGCAGGAACTGGAGACCATCCTGCAAAAGCGTATTTTGGAGTAGCAGCATTACAGAGAGGGATATGAATCCAAAGAAAAACTTCTTTTTTTTTAAGATAAATTCTCACTCTGCTAGAGTGCAGTGGTGTCATCATAGCTCACTGCAACCTCAAACTCCTGGGCTCAAACGATCCTCCTGCCTCAGCCTCCTGAGTAGGTGGGACCACAGGCATGTGGCATCATGGTCAGCTAATTTTTTCTACTTTTCATAGAGACGCATTGGTCTTCTTTAGGTTGGTCTCCAACTCCTGGCCTCAAGGGATTCTCTTGCTTTGGCCTCCCAAAGTGCTAGGATTACAGGCATGAGCCACCGCACTGGGCCCAAAGGAAAACTTTCCAAGAGTGATAGTTATGTTGATTCCATTTTCTCTTGGAAACTGTTGACTACCATAGGTAAGATTGCCCCACAGTGCAAGAACACCCTTCCTTACTGCCAGTGCTCAACACAATGACCAGTTCAGACATTTCAAAGAGAAATATCTTAAAAAATTAGAACCTTTAAGATATTAGAATATCTTAAAAAGTATCTTAAAAAATTAGAACCTTGCCAGATGAGTCTGCCATCTCATTTTGATGTTTCCTTCAAGTATACTTCCATTTGACAGTGAGAAGTGTGTTAATTATTTTTTATTGTTTCAGTTGAATAAACATCTGCTTTCACCTGATCTAAACGCATTTCACAGAAATGTAAACTAGAAACAAAATGGAATTTTGCTGATTTCATAGCTGCAGATGAGTTAAATTTTTAGATGTTGATAGTATTTAATATTAACATAGGGGAGCCCCCAAAGCTAAAGTTATCATTTATTTGCTTATTTTAAATAAGCATTTATTTTTGATTAAGACAATGCTTAGAATACTGTTTTGAATTTTTATTGTATGTCTCTTTTCTTTCAGGATCCTGCAGGAATCTTTGAATTGGTGGAACTTGTTGGAAATGGAACATATGGGCAAGTTTATAAGGTAAGGGCATTGAGTTTGAGCATGGCTTATGTGTGGTTTCATTTTGTGAATGCTGCGTATCTGGGCTGTCTATACTTGCTCATAAATGCCTCATTACAGATTTAAAATGAAATAATATGCTTGATAATTGACTCTCCATTGTTTTAAATATATTAATAGTCATATTGCCTAAACCAGATTCTGTGATTTGGGCATTTCCCTTCATTGTATATTACAGTGTTTGTATCTGACACATAAATTCCGATGTTGCATATTTGAAGCTCTTTAAGTGTTTAGTTTCCTTTACTTTAATTATTGCCAGAACTGGTTTTCAAAAGAGCAAAGGATGCCATTTACTTTAAAAATTTAAGCTATTAAACTATCATAGCTGGAAAAGTAGATTTGTTATTGGCCTAGGGCACAAGTTAAATGCGTTTAGTGAATATTGTTAGAAGAAAGCTGGCTACCTCACAAAGCAAAGGCCTAATAGGTGCAATGAATTTTACAAGTTAGGGAATAATTAAAAGTTAAACTTGAGATTGAGCTGAGGAATAATTCCTTCATGTCTTTGTAATAATTTTTGCTTGCAAATTCACTCAAAAAGTATTTAAAAAAGGCATTTCCCCTAGTAAATTATCTAAAAAAGTGATTGTTTCAAAATGTGGGTTGACTCCTCTGCTGATTATCAAAAGGAAATGGAAACAAACTGTTTTTGGACTAAAACTTTTAAAGTTTTGGTGAATGATCGATTGAAATGCCTTCAAAATAAACCCAACTGTTTCCTCATGATTATTTCTAGGGAAACATCCATCTTTGTCCTTAGTAGTAGTGATATGGAATGGCATTTCCATTACAAATTATTTCTCATTTCTACTTTTTAAAAAAATTTCTTCTTTGAGCTTTAAACTTCTCTTAGTTAATTAAAATTATTATAAAAGTCATCCAGATTGTAATATTTCCAATTCTGCAGAGTGGTAAAAGTACTATGTACAGAATGTTCTTGAACATTTGGGTTTTAAAATACAGTTATAAATGGGTATACATGTATACCTTTATTTATCTGAGGTTCTCTTCCGTGTCCACTCCAGGGAAGAATTTCTCCCTTACAAGAAGTGATTATTTCCTCAAATGTCAACCTTTTGCGGTTAGACAGAAAATGTCGTCTACTCAAGCTGCTCACTTGATGTTAATCCTGTCTGACACAGAAAGAAAGAAATGTGTCTCAGCAAAAGCTTTTAAATAGTTTCAATGAAGATAATTAAGTTGAAAGATTGTGTTACTGCATTTTGAGAAATTGGATTGAACTTGTGAAGTAACTAATGAATGAAGCTCTGATATAGGTAGATTACTTCTGATTTGCTGTCAATGTGCAGGAGCAACTGTAGAATGCTGCTGATTTTATGGTACCATTTCTTAGAGCCATTCTGTTGTCATGAGCTTCCCACTTGTGGACTATGCACCTGGGAGAAAATCCACAGCTTTGTACACTAATCCAAGAACTGAAATTGTACATTCTCATAAGAGGAGATAACAGAAATTTAATTAAGGATGAGAATGCTTGGAAAATCCAGAATTATCTGTGATTTCTTATTACCTGAGAAGGAAAAGGAAACAAATGGCAAGAGATCTCAGATCTTTTTAGAGAGGGAAGACAAAGAGGGCAGCCAGATCGTTAACATTATTATTCTAAAGGATTCCATTCTTTTAGTGATTGATACAGCACTTTGACACTTTCCAAGTTCAGGGCAGGCTCTGCAAAGCATAGTCTTGGTGAATGCAATGGACGTTGGTACAGGAGACTTGGTTTCCTTTATTAGCTCCATGTATTGTTCTGTGGCCATCACAGCTTTTCCTGAGCATTAGCCAAATGAATCCAAATGAATATGTAGTTAGAAATGCTTTGGGAACTCCTGATGATTTATCTAAATAGTAACTCCTTACCTAGTCAAGGGTTTGGCTTTAGGCAGCCAGATGATGTTAGGTGGCACCACTTATGAACAGAGACACCTGTATTTCCTGAGGCCACTAATCTAGTTCTGCTGTCATTCTGAGTTATGAAGGATTAAAGCTTAATAAAATAGTAAAATGTGAGCTAAAAGATTTCTAAACCTAAAGAAAATTAAAGTAAAAAGTGATTGTTCTTACCATAGGTTATATAACTTTATGGAATAGGTATGTTTCTAAAACATTGTAGATATAAATAGAAATTGTATAGCCCTAGGAGAAGGCTCTGATACAAAGAGTTCTTGTGATAAATGTTTCCTTTACATTAAATACTAAACCTTTGGTTTTAATTTGTTGTAAATCCCTCTTTTGGTGTTCCTGGTTTTCATAAAGTCAAGTATAATTTTATGAATAACTGTACAGACACAGCTTTTATTTTATGAAAAAAATTATTACAAATTTCTTTTTTATAAGCCATCCCAAGAGAGTCATAATATAATTTTATTTACAAATAGTTTTTAAGAAATCATAATATAATTTTATTTATAGTTTTTAAGAAACATTCTTAATATAATAAAGTATATGTAGGTATTAAGAGCATTTTTCCTGAAGTATATCTGCATATAAGCCAGATATATTTGGATATGGAAATATGAATATTTTATAAAAAGGCCATATAATAATGTTTAGCTTTTCAAGGTTGATTCTGTTCTTACTCTCAATTCTAACTTATAATTACCTGTTCTTGGTAAGGCTAGATTAGTTTATCTTTAGCATTTTGATCCAGAGTAATCATGTAGCAAATTCAATTCAGTATCTTTTTTTTTTCTTTATTTACTGGAGAGAATAGGTAAATAAATAAAGACTAGTGATTTTCTCTCAGGACTTTTAATGAGGAAACTATCTTCCTGTGCTCATGGCTCCCATTAAAAACAAGCCAACAAAAGACCCCATACCTGTTTGTTGATGTCTTGGCAGTTTATTGGCATGCCACCTATTGGGAACCTAATAGAATCTGGACACAATTTTGTTAAAATAGAGTAATTATTTTAATACATCAAAATAATTGTTTAATGTGTACTGCTAAAACACCGCTATAAATTAACCACAGATTCCAAGTGAATGTCTACCTTTTTTTCTTAATTTGCCCTTTTAAAACGTGTATTGGTTATTATAGAGACGGAGACATATTTTATCCCAGGGTGATAAAGTGAATTGGGAATATGATGGATTCCTTAGTATTCCTCATGTTTCTTTTCATTTCTCCTTATAGTTGTAAAGTGCAAAGTACAGAGGCCTTCTTAGCGGTTATAGTGCTTGTAAGAGAGAGACACTGTGTGTGTGTGTGTGTGTGTGTGTGTGTTTGTGTGTGTGTGTGTATGTGTTTTCAGATGGTAACGAGGGTCTTCAGAGGTCATCTTAGTTCTATCATTCCTCTGCCAGCCTGCTGTTCTCCATCGTTGATTGCCTCCAGCCATGTGGAACTCATTACCTCCCAGTCACTTTTCCTGCAGCCCCTTTGAATGTTTGTATTTATACTGAGCCAAGATCCTGCCTTCCTCAAATGTTTATAATTTCAATCCTTTCATAGCACCTTCAGTGCTATTTTTAATTTAAAATTACATCTTCTTCCACAAGGACGTAGTCCTTCAGATATTTGAAGACTTCTCTTCCTTTCCCCCAACGTATACTTGTGTCTCCTGTTCTTCAGGCAGTATAACCTCAATTGCTTAATTCAGTCTTCATATGACATAGATGCAAGGCCCTTCATGATCCCAGCTTCTGTCCTGAAGCTATTCTAATATATCACTAAAAATAATATTTCATACTTGTCAATAGCTTTATATTTCATAAAATCTTTTGTAAATAGCATTTGATTTCTGATTTAATTTCTATCCTAATTTCATGAGCATACCTTGTTCTTTCCCCAGGGACTATATAGTTACAGTTCCCTCTGCCTAGAACACTTCCCCCCCAGGCCTCTGGTTTCTTCTCTTCCAGGGCTCAGCTGAAATACTACCTCCTCAAGGGAGCCACTTTTCATCCCTGTGTCTGCTATAGCCAACCGCTACCTTTACTTCCCTCCACCATAGACTTTCTCTATCACATCAATTTGTTTTGCTGTCTTCATGGCATTGCCACGTTCTGAATTATCTTACTTCTTTGTTTATGTATGTATTAGACAATTTAAATATTTAAATAAAGGGAAAATAAGGTCAGAGACCCAGTCTGTCTAGGTCATCACTGTATCCCCGTCTGGCACACGGTAGATGGTAAGAGTGTGGGGCCCAGAATTGCGTTCTGGTTTTCCTTGCTAATTCTTTTTATATTTGTTCCCAGTGTTTGCAGCATTTCCCGTCAAGTCTTATTACTTTAGAAAAGCATATTTGCACAAAAGTAATAAGCAAAATGCTCTCCCTGTTTTCTTTATGGGGGGATGTGGATGTAGATTTTTATGTCAGTAGTCTATAGAAGCAAGACCCATGCTGGAAATACACAAAATGAGACAGATTTCTGAGGTTCAGTCTTCTGGCAGATGTTCTTAAACTTCAGTATGTAGATCAAAAATGTAAATTAAAAAATGTAGATTTTCAGGCCCCAACCATTGAAATTTTGAGTTAGTAGGTCTGAAGTGTGAACCAGGAAGCTGTACTTGTGTGTGGATTCATTGTGTTGTTCAAGGCCCTCGGACCACACCTCCAGAAACTCTGCAAAAATAAGTGTGTATTATCCTGCTTTAAGGTCGCTTGAGTGAATTGAATGCTAATCCTAATGCTTTTTGTAATCGTTTACTTTAGGATTTCCATGCTGACTCAAACTTGCATAAATGGAGAAAAGTATTCATATAAAACAAAGACCTGGACCTGATATGCGATACTAACCAGTTTTGACTTATTCAGAGATTTGACTTTCAGTGTTTTTATTTGACATGCTTGTGATTGCAGTTTAAGGTGTTCCTGAATAATTCAGCTCAAGACCTAAGAATCAATATTGTCAAAACTGACCTGGTATAGCAGAATATGAGCCTGTTGGATGAGATTTTTCTCAAATCTGTACATTATGATCTCTTCATTAAC